CTCTCTCTCTCTCTCTCTCTCTCTCTCTCTCTCTCTCTCTCTCTCTCGGCTCTCCCTGGGCAGCCGTGGCTCCCTACTGGACGTCACCAGAAAAGATGGAAAAGAAACTGCACGCAGTGCCAGCTGCCAAGACAGTGAAGTTCAAATGCCCTTCCAGTGGGACCCCTAACCCCACGCTACGCTGGCTGAAAAATGGCAAAGAATTCAAGCCTGACCACAGGATTGGAGGCTACAAGGTACCTGTGTCTATATGAAAGTTAGAGTCAGGGGAACAGGAGCCGCTGCTTAGAAAATCCCTCTTTATAGGCTTTAATTGTGTTAAGTAACGCTTTCTATCTATAAAATTAAAATTTTTTCAAATACAAAACACTGTATATAAAGGTAAAACTTCTCAGTCTTTTTTTCTGTGTATACATACGGTTTTTACTTGGATGATCACGTCTGTATAATTTCTTGTCAGTTGTTAACATTATAACATGAGTCTTTTGCCGTGTGTTTGAAAGATAATTTTTCATGGCTTTATAATATCCCGGTATTAAAATGTTCCATAATTTAATGAACTATTTTGCAATGCTAGTTATTTTCCAGTTTTTCACTGCTATAAATAATGTTGCGGTGAATATCTTTGTGCTTAAGTCTGTGTCAGCATTTTAAAATATTCTTCTTTAGGACAGATTGAGGGAAGTTACTAGATCAAAGTGTAAGCATTTTTTAAGCCCTTGATGCATGTTACCCAATTACTTTTTTTTCCTGATAATTAGGTAATTTTATCCATTCACTCATGTATTCATTTATTACATGAACATTTCTTGAACACATGTCTTTCCAGAAAATGTACTAGGCAACAGAGTTCAAAGTGCAATGGGAAGACATAAAATTTTACTGTGATATTTGCTCTAATGGAGGATGATGTAATCAGTTGGGGTGCGATTTTATTTTTTATTTTATTGTGGTAACAGTTACTTTCTTAAAGAGAAAATGAATTTTCCCTCGCATAGCAGAGTATGAGAATGACAAGCTCACTCTACCTTTGCCAACAAATTTGATAGATGAGAGTATTGCATTGTTCTCTGTGGGCTCTTTTGCTTAGTAACGAGCTTAGAATTTTCATGTGTTCATAAGCGATTCCCATTTCCTGTTGTGGGAATTGTTTATTCGTGTCCTTTGCCCGTTTACAGTTCCAGGAAGAACATCTTCATCTAATCCCTCCTTTAAAGTCTCTGATCATCCTTATCGTTCCTGTTTCTCTTCCATTTCACTTAGCTGCTCTTTTCTCATTATTCTTGTATAAGAAAAGCAAAGGAGATCAGAAAAAATATGGAAACTGTTTAAATTAATTCACCCAACACTTGCTGTATGCAAGGCTCTGTGCTCTGAGTCTCATGAGGCAGTATCCTGCCCATACAGAATTCTGTCTAATAAGATGGCAGATATCCGTGGGCGCTGCCCCTTGCAAGGTACAGAGGGACGGAGAGAACAGGTTTGGCTGGAGATGGGGCTGGAGGAGATGGACTTTGAAATGAGATGTCAAGGGCGGGCAGGGCTGAACTCATAGCGGGGAGCTGTTCTGGCACAAGAACAGGGTGGACAGGGGTGCAGGGTTGGGGGAGTTCCCAGTATATTTGGGAGGGTGCAAAAGGCACATTTGTACAGATCACGATGGCCTTGGCCTTTGTGGGGAGACTTTCTGGGTCCTCACACCCGTCTGCCTGATGCCTTCTTGCAGAGTATAAATGGGCTGGGGTCACTGTGCAGCCGGGCTGCATCCTCCGTGCTCTGATGGGAGGGTAAGCGCCTCGGGGCACCAGCACCGCCTCTTCCTCCAGACCCGCAGTAGAACCCTTTGGCATGTTTCCGCTCAGGTCCGTTATGCCACCTGGAGCATCATAATGGACTCCGTGGTGCCTTCTGATAAGGGCAACTACACCTGCGTCGTGGAGAACGAGTATGGCAGCATCAACCACACCTACCAGCTTGATGTCGTGGGTAAGAAGGGACAGGAGTAGGAGCTTAGAGGAAAGAGCAGGGACGCTGAGAAAACAGCCTGGAGCCAGGTTTACTTAGGGTTGGAGTCCGAATGGTGTGGCATTTATTAGCTCTGTCACCTGCCTCTTTCCTTACCTGTAAATAGAGGTGGGAGGAGGAGCCATACCGCAGACTCATTGTAAAGTGACAGGTGCTGTTAATAGTCTCTCCTGCAGGAGGTGACTGGAGTAGTGGTGGTAAATTTAGCTTAATAGTAGCTATCACTCCCTGGATGCCAGCGGTCTGCTGGGTGCAGTAACTATACCACGGGCAATTCTCCTGGCACCCCTGCAAGAGAGGCGCTGTTGGGCTTCCCTGGTGGCACAGTGGTTGAGAGTCCGCCTGCCGATGCAGGGGACACGGGTTCGTGCCCTGGTCCAGGAAGATCCCACGTGCCGTGGAGCGGCTGGGCCTGTGAGCCATGGCCCATGGCTGAGCCTGCGCGTCCAGAGCCTGTGCTCCGCCATGGGAGAGGCCACAACAGTGAGAGGCCCGCGTGCCGCAAAAAAAAAAAGAGAGAGAGAGAGAGAGGCGCTGTTGTTCCCACACTACGGAAGAGTAGACTGAGAGGCTCAGAGACGACAGGCCCCAGGTGAATGCAGACTCCAGGCATTGCATGAGACACTAGGAAGAATGTCACGCCTCTGGGTGCTGTGACTGCAGCCTCTTCCTTCTAGAGGTTCTGAGTCTCATTCTGTAGCAACCTTAACGTAAAGAGTTTCCCAGCCAGCATTCTGCTTCGGCTTCGAGGCTACGGTCTTATAAAAAGAAGCTTCCGGTCCAGGAGGTCTGGGGTAGGGTCTGAGGTTCGATGTTTCTCACAAGCCGGTGATGCTGCCGCTGCTGCCCGTGGACCACACTTTGAACAGCAAGCGTCTCAGTGACTGTGATTTTAGCTAAGGACGGGTAGGCTGGGCTGAGGCCCGGGAGTGCTTCTCTTTGGTGGCCTTTGGGATGCCCTCTGTCAGCATCTCAGCCAGGAGCAGCCGTGGCAGAGCCTGATGAGCGTCTCCCCTCCCTCCCTCCACAGAGCGGTCCCCTCACCGGCCCATCCTGCAGGCAGGGTTGCCAGCCAACAAGACAGTGGCCCTGGGCAGCAATGTGGAGTTCATGTGTAAGGTGTACAGCGACCCGCAGCCCCATATCCAGTGGCTAAAGCACATCGAGGTGAATGGGAGTAAGATTGGTCCGGACAACCTGCCGTATGTCCAGATCTTGAAGGTAATCCCTGGCCCCAGTCTCCGTGGGCTGGGCTCTGAGAGAGAGGCCTGTATCTCCCGGGGCCCAGGTTGCTGCGGTCAGGCTCAGTGCCCACGATGGGGTCCCATCCCTTCTCTTTGGATACAGGCTCCATCTTAAATGGGGACCCAGCCACATTCCGCAGGACCAGTGGCAAGTCACGGGTGGAGGCGTGAGGGGCACAGAGGCCTGGGGGTGGCCATTGCTGGTTTCTAAAGAGCATCGACAGTGACTGTGCCCAGGCTTTCGGGTCAGCTACTCCAGGAAGGCGTTGGCATTCCCGCCTTTCCAAT